CAAAAAAGTACTCCAGAGTGTTGTTCAGCATGGGGGTGAGTAGAAAATGAAGGCTAATCATGTTTTGGGTGTACTATTCCTTTAATGCACCTTTTTCCTCCTTGTTTGCACCTTCTTTAACTACTATGCCAATATGTGATGAGTGAATTTCTCCACTGTGAGATCAATAAAGCTCATCTAATCTAATCTAAATAGTTTTCCTATACAGTAGTTTTTCTTTCTGTGTTTCCTGCTTAGTAACAGGTAATAATATATACCTGTGCAGTTGCTAACCTACCTTCTCTCGTTGAAGCAGGAGTTTCTTGGCTTTCTCCTCTGCAGCACTCTGCTCTTTCCTTTTGGGCCCTTCCACCTGTTTTACCATCACACCATCAGGTTTCTTCTCCTCCTCCATCATGGAGCTTTTAGATTCTCCTCCTCTGAATTTAGGAACAAGAGGAGCAATGTAGTTCCCGACAAATGCCTGCACAGTGGGAGCGGAATATGACAAGTACTGTCCCAAACTCTTCTTGGAGGGTGGGGTGACTAAGGCAGAGGGTTCATCTTTCTGAGACACAGGTACGAGGTCGGTGGGTCGCTGAGGAGGGTTGTTGTCGACGCCATCGTCTTTCTTGTCCTGAGTCTTTGCGAAGCTGCCAAAGTAAGAGTTGATGTGATGAGACAGGTAGCTGTAGGTCTCGTCCAGGTTGGCTGAAAAGGTACTGGGATGGAATAGCCCTGGAGATTCTTTGGAAGTTGTGGTTTTGTTTCCAATGTTATTCAGAGGTGCTGGGAGCTCCTCCGGCTTCTTAGTAGAAATAGGTCTGACGGCAGGAGAAATACGCTTCAGCTTTTTATTGCTATCACGAACAGGGGCGAGGGCAGGAGTGACGGCCAACTGAGCAGAAGCAGCGAGAGGAGTGGGGGTAGGGGTCTTTGAGGATGCAGTGGGAGAATGAGTGGGGGTGATTGTCTTTTCCTCAGCAGATTCAACACTGACCTGGGACTGTTTCTGTGCCTTTGGTTTGAGGCGAGAGATTTTGGACAGGAGTTCTGTTTGTGTCCCACTCACAGCTTTAGAAACTGTGTCCAAGGTACTCCTGACTCGAGACATTTGCTGTCCCAGACCTGCAGACCACCTGGACGTTGAAGTATTCAAACATGGAGAGCTGGTATGAAGCCCAAGCCTCTGCCTAACCTGGATTGCTTTGAAAAGCCAGCCCCTCCTGCCCTTAAGCTTCAGATGATGGAAGTGCCTCAAGCTGAGGTAGCCAGTAGGATGTTGGCCATTGATCCTACAGTGAGAGGATCCAAACCAGAGCAGAAACCCCGCAGACCTCCGACAATGAGTCTGACACATTAAAGATGCTCTGTCTATTTTCACCAAGATATTTGGAGCCCATCTATGGTTCATGTTGTGTCAGAGGTTGAAGATGGACACCATCTGCAGGTTCTGTCATTTACCTGTTAATTAATACAGAGAAACAGCGCTTTAAGTTTTACATAATAAAAACAAAAGGAACGAAAATAATAATAGGATTTAACAGAAAACAGTGTTAAAGCATTAGTTTCATCAGTAAAAATATATCCAAGCTAAAGCGGTGAACAGTTGGACATCAGTGACTAGCTTAGCGCAGCTTGCTAGTTCCATTAAGGCCTTTTAGGCATAAAAACTCCTACCTGCCTTCTTATGTTGTCGTCTCAGTTTGGTAAAACATCCCAAAATGATGTCATTATGTCGCCATATTTCGATTGGAGTCAACACTAAACTATAAACACCTCCCCCGGAGACGATATAGCTCCGGATAACTTCCAGAATGACGACAGGCTGACTGTCTAAAGAAAAACAACACCCACGTGGGGCTCTATCCGCTTCCCTATTGGCTGGCTAAACTTGGCCCATAAATGGAATGCGCTGATTGGTTGAGAAAATTCTCTTTAATATATAGCTTTTGAGAAGCGGCTGAGTGGAGGAAGCGATTTAAACCTTACAACTGGAGTATAGAATGTAAATTTAGTGATTAATACCAGAGAATATTATTAATCATGTTCTGGTAACTTATCAAAATAAATATATATATATACAACTCTTAATTTAGTAACGAACGTTTGGGGTTTTATATGTAACAAATTGAGTTTTGGTTCCTATTTAAGTTTAATTGATAATTTTTCACACATTCATACAACACACTGAGGCAAGTAGCTTTGCATCTGAAAAAAAAAACTATTTCAAAGAAAATACTAACTCCATGCATGTGTTGACAGTGACAGTTATAAATAATCATGTGAAGTTAGTGTTCAAAATTAGTAAACAAAAGCTCCGGGCTTCATTAATTCATCACCTATTGTCCCTTTAATCCAATCATCTTCAGTTTATCACTGCTTCTTTCAGCCTAATGAAACTTTGCTTTCTCACACAGTCCACACGTCTTTACTCCACATTTATTACTGTTCCAGATGATTTGTGTGGAAAGAAATGTTCTAACTTGTTGTTGTCTTATTTTAAACGTGTCTATTTGGTATTGTATAAATAATAATGTTCATATATTGATAGGTATTGCGATTAATCCAGTTTTTCATATTATTCATAGCACCCCTGCTAATTTTGTCTGTGTTCAATAAATTTTTTATTTTTTATTTTTTTGGTTTTATTTTTTTTTTTAATAACAACAATAATAATTGCACTATTTAATTTGTGTTGAAATTCTTGTCATGACTCTTTAAAATGTTTCAAAATTAACGAGTCAAATAGAATCAAGAAAAAAATTATATAATCTATGTATAAAAAAAATAATATAATCTCTGTACTTAAAAAATAATAATATAATAATAAAGAATAATATTATAAGGACTTATTATGAGGATACTTCTAATTATAAGGCTAACTGCTGAACTATGAAAATATTATTATTTTTGCTGCTGACCTGTTTTGTGTAATATTTCATTTAATTGTTGACATTAAGTTTACTTTCAAATTACATGTTATTATTTCAATATGCCAAGCATTTGTATAAAATAGATTTTATTTGAGTTCAGTGTGTGATTTTTATCGATAAAAAATGGAATCAGTTAAAAATCATTTGTAGAAGTAGTAATTATTTTCACTGTCAAAAAAATGTATAGAACTTAATTAAATCATTGTAATTAAATAATTAATATTATATATATTTATATATATATAAATAAAAATTGATATTAAAATAAATTCTCATAAAGTTAATGTAATCAACTGGGTCAGTTGAATGGTAAATTATCATGGCAACGACCACTAGAGGGCGCGGAAGGACAGAATCAATGTTTCTGAGAGGGGGTTTAGAAACTATCGAGAAAAAAGACACATTTCTTATAAAAACAATACGTAAAGAATCAGAGGCTGAAATTATGAATATTATATTTTCGGGGATATAACAGTATTTTTTTTACGATATTTATAAGACTAGATACTACAACATAAAGTACGTGTTAGCCCATACCAGTAGGTGGGGGTTTTACACCCCATATGATGTTGCCAAACGCCAAAAGCCCATGAAGAAGAACAAGGAAAAAAAACCGGGTTTTCACGATTCCTACTTTTAGTGGCATAATAATATTTTTGCATCATGATGATGGATTGCGTTGGTTAAATTGTTAAAGATTTTGTGAACGAGGACGCCAGTGGATTACCAAAAGGTTATACAAATCCTAAAAGCTTACTATTAAGAGTCTAATAGATGATGTTAGCAGTTAAGCTAGGAAAGACCGAATAGCATCATCATGACGGAATCGTTTTGAAGTTTTTGTTTGTTTAACGCGTGTTACTTTTCCTCGACTTTTATCTGGAAATACGTTTTCCCGTTATTATGATAAATTGTTTTCTAATAGATAAAAAAATATATAAAAACTGTTTTGCTGTCCTGCTACCTTACTAGCTTAAAATATGCTGTTGTTATGATAATGTTGTTACGATAATGTTGTTACGTTGTTTTTCTTGTTAAATGCAGGGAGCAGTGCGGCCATGGCAGCTGTCCAGTCTGTCCTGTTGTTTGCAGTGTGCGTCCTCATGATAACAGAGCTGATTTTCGCTAAGAAGGACTACTATGATATCCTGGGAGTGTCCAGAGGTGCAACAGAGCGCCAGATAAAGAAGGCTTTCCACAGGCTTGCAATGAAATTTCACCCCGATAAGAACAAGAATCCAGATGCTGAAGTGAGATTCAGAGAGATTGCTGAAGGTAAGCAATTTCTGAAGCTAGACCTACATAAAAAATTTATGATTTAGCGTTTTCCTTTACATCAGGTATGCACAAACAATGCATTTTGTTTTGTTGTCTATTATTATAACAGGCCATGATGTACAGGCTCATAAAGTTATCACCCTTTTTCATTTTGAAACCCCAAAATTGACTCTGTTCTATTTGCGCATATTTTGAAGCTGAATAATAAGGATATGTGATTTAAAATCTTTATACAAAAAAATAAAAAAAAAATTCCTTCACCTAATGCTAAAATTGGGATCTGTTAATTATCTTGTACAACTTCATGGTATTGGAAAAAAAAATGTGAGTAATGTTGTGATAAAAACTGGAAATTATGAATCTATTTTAGATTTATTCCTAACAACCTTTCCTATGAATTGCAGAACTAAAAGAAAACTTTCTTTAATAAGATGCTAATGTCTCAAAGTAATTCATGATTTAATTAATAATGCAGAGAAACCACACAGCCTTTTACTTTAGAGCAAAATCATGTCGTACTATATTTTGAGGAAAGCTCATTGTTTACACCTTGAAGCTTTCTCTCTCTGGTTCTTTTCCGGAGAAGAAAACTCTTTCATGTGTATGTATTAAATAGAACTGAAACAATTAATCAAATTACTCATGATTTATCGATTTAAAAATAATAATATTCAACTAATTTAGTGATCGATTAATCATTAAGTGGAGTATAGAGTCTCTAAAATATGCCTTTAGCTGA